GATCCTGGGGAAGAGAAAATCTAGCATAATATAAAGATCACTTGGTCTGATGGCATGGTTGCTTTCTGACTTAATTTTATTGCTGTTAAGACTTTCTTATTTTGAGAAGTCTTGATTTTAATAGCTTCTGTGTAGGCGGGTCATTGCCTCCTTGGAAAGCCCAGCTGACAAAGCTTTCTGATTTTATTTTTTTTCTTTTGAGAATCCAGCAAAATTTTCTAGTGAGTTCTTCATCTCTTTGTGGTGGGTTCCTGATGTGCCCACTTGGGTCTGGAGGAAGCACTTCAGCCTTTCTCTCTGTTGCCAGGACACGGAACTGGGCAGCAAGGCCAGGCTTGACAGCTTTTGTGGTCACCTTGGCAGCTCGCTTAATTGATCGCCTCACTGTCGATGCTGCTGCGTCTCCCACCACTCCCGGGAGACTGCTCTCGTTGGCCGGAGCCTGGCTGCTGGGTTTCCTCCCCTTGTTTGCAACAGAACAGCTTGTAGCCCGCAATGAAGAAAGGAATCCCATTCAGCTTGGTGTTTTCATCGTTGCCTCTTAGGTGTGCAAAGAGAGTACTTAGTGTGAGGCTTCAGCCGAAATCGAATTCATCTTCTTCAAAATAAACATGTGAGAGAATGCATTAGATGCGTCAGCTAGCTGGTGAGAAGGAAGGGTTAGAAAGGGACCCAGTGGCCATTCTTTGGAAAGTCTTTTTGATTGGGAAATAATGAGGCTCTGTCAGTGAAACACATTGACAGAAACCCGTACCTGCCTGAATCCTAAGTTCCGTGATGGCACAGAGGGTAAAGCCTTGGCTGCCAGCTGACAGGTTAACAGTTTGAACCCACTAGCTGCCCCACTGGAGAGAGATGTGACAGCCTGTTTCTGCAGGGTGGGTCGCCCCAGATGTAGGAGGAGCTCTGCCCTGTCCAGTGGGGTCACTGTGAATCTCTGTGGACTCGGTGACCATGGGTTTGGCCTTTTGGGTTTTGGTTTTATGAAGCTTACACTACGCACACCTCGAAGACACCAAGTAAGGAAATGAGGGCGTGATACTGTGTTGGAAGGTGATCAGGTCACATCTCAGACCTTCTCTTTGCTTCTCAAGTAGCTCGCAGTCAAAGCCACAGTCTTTGGTGTTAGACACTCTTAAGACTTTAGGGAAAGCAAATTGTCATGCTGCCTGGTTCTATACCATGATGGTTACAGTGTTTTGAATCCATTGTTGTTTAAAGAGGGCAAGGATCTATCCCTTTCTCACTCTTTTCTTTCTCTCTCACTGTGTGTGTCTCTGTCTCTGTGTGTGTGTGTGTGTGTGTGTGTGTGTGTGTCTGTCTGTCTGTCTGTGTGTGTGTGCGCGCACGCGTGCCCACACGTGTGCATGTGTACACTGAAGCACTTATGCTTATGTTTACTGGTACTGATGGTAGTAATACTCAGTAATCATGGTATGTAAATAATAGTGAGAAGTACTATGGAAAAATCCCTGGAGCCTTAAAGCCATAGCAGTGTAACCCTGCCCATGTTGGAGACCACAGCTGGAAATTGGGGTGTCAGGAGAGCTGTGCTCCCTCTGAAGTCTCTGACAGAGAACCTGGGAGAATACAGGTGATCCTTGGCTTGTGTCAGCATCACGTCCGTGTCCACCTCCACTGAGTTCACCTCATCTTCCAGGCTCTGCATCCATGGTCCTATTGCCTCCTCCCCTTCTCTCTCAAACACCGTCTGTCCCCTCTTAGAAGGAGAACTGGGATTGTATTGGGACCAAGCAGGATTTTCAAGGATAAGTCCCCCAGCTGCTCACCTGAAAGTTAGTCAGATCTTTGCCATGGAAGGTAATTTTCACAGATTCTAGTGATCAGAATGTGTATAATCTTTTGGGGAGCCATCGTTCCACACCCCACAAAGGACTAAGGGAACCTTTGTCTGCAGGGGGCAGGCTCATGTTGCTGTGCCTCCTGGTGATGGTGGTGGTGGAGGCGCCCTGTCAGCTCTGACTCATAGCAACCCCATGTGGAAACAGCACCTGTCCTCCTGGCCTGTATGAGCCTCACCGTGGCTGCCCTGCCCCTTGTCCTGTGACCACGCCAGTCTACCATGTTGAGGGGCTTCCTCGCTTTCTCTGACCCTCGACTTTCCCAGCATGACCAAGGGCTGGCCCCTCTGACAACACGCCCAGAGTGTGTGAGAAGACGTCTCACCATCTTTGCCTCCAAAGAGCACTGGTTGCACGGCCTCTGAGATAGTTGCCTGTTCTTTGGCTGGCCCGTGGGATAGTCCATAATCTTAGCCAGCACCACAATTTAAAGGCATTCATTTTTCCTTGGTCTTCCTTATTTATTGCCAGAATTTCACGTACATGTGAAGCAACTGAAAATGCCATGGCTTGGGTTAGGTGCACTGATGTCTCTGCACCGGCACTTTAAGGAGGTCCTTGACAGCTGATTTACCTTGACAGCTTCTTGATCTTGACTTCTTGACTGCTGCTACCATGGGTGTTGATTGTGGATCCAAATAAAAGATTGGCAACTTCAGTGTTTCTCTATCTTGAGGTTCTGATGAGGACTTTTGTTTTCTTAATGTTCAAGTGTAATCCGTCAAAACAAGCATAACAAGTTCAGCATGCCCTGTGTTGTCCTTCCTGGCTCCATTTTTCATACCTTTCCAGAGAACGTCGCTGTCGTTCATACATGACTTGGCCAGTGTAGGGCTTTAAGGTTTTATTGTAACTATTCATACACAATATATGTGGAATGACTGCAGGTTTATGTTAAAACTATTGTCCTTGAAGTGCTTCATACCATAGGTGATATTCTGCTGCTTGCTTTCTCACCTGTCCAGGTTAAAGCATGCATCTAGTTCGGTTTTTTTTTACCTTCCTCTCTAGGCTGTGGAGTCTCTCTCTCTGGCTTCAGAGTGCAGTGCATTGTCCTTGGGTGGGGCTGGGGGATGCTGATTGCCCCCACTGGGGTTGCAGTCGTGTCCCTGCGGCCAGCGTCAGGATACCGTTCATAGCTCTCATCGGGAGTCAGCAGCCTTTGAGGGTTGGCAGAGAGACAAAGACTCAGGGCTGCAAACAAGCATAGCTCTTCTCTTGAGCTTCACGTCTGGACTAGGACATTCTGTCTTCAGATGGTCTGTGCCTTGCTTTTAGCCTAGTGACATCTGTAAGATGGGATCTTAAGATCTTAATTGCCTCCTGTATCTCTGGGTAAACTCTGTTAGGGCCAGAGCTTGTCTCGTGCCTCTGTCTGGTTTTCTGTGGTGTCTGGCACATCTCTGATGCTCCGTGTGTGTGTTTGAGTGAATGTGTCCACCGCTCAGCATAATATCCCCCCTGGTCATCCCATGACCAGGTTCCTGCCAGGCATTCGCATGTGAACTGCTGTTTTGTGCCTCACCTGCAGACCGAGCCAGAGTCCGGCTCTTCATACATCTGTGAGTATATATGAAGAGGGCTCCGGTGTTGAAATTTCTCTTCCCTTAGGTGTTACATGGTGAAAAAAATCCAAGGAAAGATGAGATTGCTAAATGCACATGCAGACTTCCTTTTTAAAATTTTTTTAGTTGCATCCCATCGGGCCTCTTTCATCCCCGTATCCTCATGGCTTCCTTGTGTGCACAGTAATTGCTTTCTCATTGCAAATGTGCCATTAACAGAATATGTTTTATGCATGTTTACGCCGCAATACCTTTTCAGCATTAGGAGAATTTGAGTTCCAATGGGGTAAAATGTGTGAATCATTCTACTTGGAAACAGTCAGTCATAATAGTGCTATCGCTGTTAAGGTTTATCGGAGCGTATTTCCTGGGCCAGGACTGGAGGGAGGCATTCTTCTTCTGCCTGTTCTTCAGGTTGAGAGACCTGAACTAGGGCATTGTGGTCTCCTCAGGTACACTCGGCTCATGTGGGGGGAATGGGGAGGTGAACCCCATGCTTCTGAGGACTGGTCCCCCCACTCTCTAAATTAGGGAAGAGAAACCTGGAGATGAGTAATAGGAAAGGAGATCAAAGAGGTGGCAGGTGAGGACAGTTCTCTGCCAGAGAGCTTTGAAAGATGAGAGAACAGGTGGGAGAATCCGTCCAGGTCTTAGAATGATGGTCCCAATGGTAGTTTCTAAAGAATCGGAATTTTAATTTGAGGAACCAAGAGAAACGGATTTCCCTACACTCGTAGTTGTCCGTGAAGGAGGGAAGGAACCAAGACAGGTCCAGGGGCTGAAGGCAGGTGCACTGACTTTACATGGTACTGCAGGTCTGGGGTGTTGGCGCTCTGAGAAGGCCAGTGCCCACTGCCCGTTCTGTCTCCAGAGTGCTGATTGGTCAGTAATCTGTAGTTACAGCCATGGCAGGAGGGCAGCGGACATCTGGACAAATGGTTAGACTGAAAGTAAATTGAGCTTAGACTACTCAGATAATGCAAAGCAGAATGATGTATAAGCAACGCCTGGGAGAGGGAACGTCACGTGTTTATGGCAAGGAGGTCGTGGAGTTGGATTCAGAGCAGTGGTGTGATGAGGGTCATGCGTGTCGCCCTCACTCAAAGCTGCTGTCCTCTATCATCCTCTATGTTCTGTGCATCTGTCATAGAGTCCGTTCGCATGTCAGTGTCTCTCTCCTCGATATGAGCTCACGGCTCGGTATTCTTTTTGCATCCTCTTGACTGGGGTGTGTTCAGGGGTATAATGCTCCACTTGGAGATTACCAAGATCACAGTCTCTGTTCTTGGTAACCCCGCTCCTGTCCTAGGCGACTGACACAGTCTGTGTAGAACCTCTGCTTTCTGTCCCCTTTCAAGCCAAGTGAAGCTTTCCTCAATTTCATACCAAGTGGCTATTTACTGAAACCAGTAGAATTCAAGTTAATAGTGGCACTTGCCTAAGTAGCATTTGACTGAATAGTGATACTTGCATAGTGTGTCTGTTTCCAAATAGTTCCCCTCATTCCTACAGGATGTTGTGTTAGGATAGGTGGATCGGGTGAAAATTAACCTGTGTTTCTGTCCCCCGTCAGGTTGCCTCACAGCGTATTAGCTCAGTGGACCTCTCATGTTGTAGCCTGGAGCACCTGCCTGCCAACCTCTTCTACAGCCAAGACCTCACTCATCTCAATCTAAAGCAGAACTTCCTTGGGCAGAACCCCAGCCTGCCCGCTGCCCGAGGGCTCAGCGAACTGCAGAGGTAAGAGGGCAGAAACGGGTGGGCGATTCCAGACCCACCGCATCCCGTCGACCCCGCTTAACCCTGTAGGACCACGGAGAACTTCCCTGCCTGTAGGATTCCCCCGGGTGTAATCTCCACGAAAGCCGACTGCCTTGGCTTTCTCCCACGGGGGGCTGGTGGGTTCCACCTGGCGGCCTTTCATTTAGGAGCTGAATGCCTTAAACCACTGTGTCACCAGTGCTCCATGGACGGTTATAGGGAGGGAAATACATTTCTTGAATTAAAAATTCTCTTTAAAAATTAGTTTCTCTTTCAAAGGATCACGTAATGGGATTTTGTTTAGGACATTTATTCATTTTCATTCTGAGGAGGTTCTTTTTCAAAGGGTCCTTCCTTTGAAATTAACTGTCTGTGATACTTATTTACTGTATAAATTTGTATAAGAACCAAATCCCAGGGAGCTCTGGTGGCCTAGTGGCAAGAAGCTGCACTGCAACCCCAGAGGTATGCGGTTCAAATCCAGCAGAGCATCTGGTTTGATGGCACACCCACAAAAAAGAATTTATTTTATTTTTTTAAAAAAACTTTATTGTATTATTTTTACGTGTACCGTTCAGATCTGACTGGTACAGGAGAGGATTGCCCCCCCCCTTTCTCCAGCAGAGCATCTGGTGGATTTGAACCGCGTACCTCTGGGAAAGCAGTGCAGCGTCTTGCCACTAGGCCACCAGAGCTCCTTTTTTTGTTTTTTTAAATAAAAGAACCAAACCCCAAGTCCACTGATGCAGAGTCAGCTCTGTTGTGGTGGCCCCTTCCACAGGGCTTCTGAAGATGTTCGTCTTAAGAGGACCCGACTGCCTCATCCTTCTCCCTCAGAACAGCCGGTGCATAGAAACCACGACCTTTCCATTCATAGCCCGACACAAAATCCACTCTACCTGTGCTCTTCACTCAAGAACAGCTTCTTCAAATCATTTCTGCCTCCAAGAGCCTACCTACAAGTACAGCTGTGAAAGTTAATGACCTTTAATGCGTTACTTCTAAACCACAGGGGTTTGATCAGATGGTTTCTTTTGAAATACATAAAAGTCAGTGTTTCAAACACAGGACATTTTGTTATAAATTTAAGGCCTAAATTTAAATCCATTAGCACTGTGTCACCTGAGTGATGTGTACACATATGTCGTAGTTACATAAATAGGATCTGTTTCTTTAAAAGTAGACAGAAAGGATGGACTTGGATATGTCTAGAATATATTTAAAAACATGAAACTTCGTTTGAGGAAAGAGGTCAGTTACGGTAGTAAATTAAGCCTCATATTTGTTGCAGGAATATAACTATTTTAAGTAAATAATGAATTGCTCATTTTTTATTAAATGACTATAATAAAATTGATATTTGGAAGTGAGAGTGGCATCCACTTCCTAAACTACATGCCTCTGGAAACTCTTATCAACTTTGATAAATGTCGATAGTTGTAGAGGGGCTTCAGGCCTTTTGTTCATAGGGTCGCTATGAGTCATGCTCCCCTCGAAGGCAGTCAATAGCAACAACATAATAATAAAATCAGAGATTAAGCTATGGTAATTAACTATTGTGATTTTGTGTTTCTAGTTATCTATGTTGAGAAAAAAATTTAACCTAATAAATTTTTACTGTAAAACTTACACAGGTATGTAGTTGGAAAAGAGGAGAAATATTTAACTGGAAATTGTGTTTTCAGATAATTGTGGCTATTCTTTGATAATGGACCAAAATTGGACAAGTGGGCATTTACTTTTAAATTGTGATGCAGGTAGGTATTTACAGAGCACTTTGTTCCGTAGTGTAGGTTACAATCCCCACAGTTTAGCATCACTCTTCCCACCTCTTCCATTCATCTTTTCCCCCCTCTGTCTTCCTGCCTTCTGAGCTTTCACTTTCAGCAAGTACTACCCTTTTGATTTTGTAGGATTGATTCTTCTAAGGAGGGTGGAGTGTGCGCCTCCCTACTGTTATTGTCCCCTCGTAACCCTGTCATTTGCTGAGCTCAGAGCTGTGCATGGCAGTGAATTCAGTTCCAGACTTGGAGAGTGAAGAGGACCATGGTCTCCGTCAGAACAGCAGGCTGGTCTTTTTTTTTTTTTACGATTTTGAGTTTTATTCCACAGTTTTCTTCCACTTGATCCAGGACATACTATTGTAATCCTTTTCAGAGTGGTCAGCAATGGTGGTGGTGCACCATCTAGTTCTAGTCTCAGGGTCACCAAAGCTGGGCTTTTAGGGGTCCTTTCGTCCATCGGGCTAATTGTTTCCATGTCTTTGCTTTTCTTCACTTTTCTTTGGTCAGGATGGGAGGTGGCAGGGAGATCCATGGTTGGATGTTAGGTGACCTCACAATGACCTCAGTCAGTGTTCACCGAAGTAGATGTAGAACATTGTCTTGGCACCTTGTGTTATGGCAACTGCAAGTGATCATTAGCTCCAGTGTGCAACTGTATTCATAATTTGTTCTGCTAAAATGGGTAGCAGACCGGTTACAAGAAGTCAGCATTGTCCCAGATGTTTGATTTGCTGTATATCTCCAGGATTTCTGATATCAACATTTTCCCAGATGTTTGATTTGCTGTATAACGACTTGTGATATCAGCAATCCCTCCTTCCTTCAGTTCCCCCCTCTTCTATGTCCCTTGTGTTTGGTTCTTTGCTGGAAGGGCTCACAGAGACTCAGACCCATCTGGAGAATGAGTCATATGACTGGGGATGATGCAGGCCTATCTGTAATGTAGAGACAGGTGAGCATTGTATACTGTTGCTTCAAGTGCGCCTGGAAAGTGGACATCTCAATGAGAGAGCAAGTACTGAGGCCCCATGGTCTTCTGTAAGATCCTAGTAGGATGGACCTGTATCCCACCCTAATCCTCTCTCCTTAATAAAAGAAATACTTCAGCACAAAATGAACAGTTAGTCAGTGCCATTTTGAATGATAAACTTTGACACCCCAGCAACCTAAAAGCTGCCAAGTCGATCTGAATATTTCCATTGATGTTTCCTGCACTTTACCCATGCATAGCATTGATAAATTGATTACCAGTCCTTTGGAAATGACTGGCTCATTAAGTAGCCTAGAGATTCCAAAAGTTAACAGATTTCACTATATGAAAATCACATTTGTTAATATCACCACCAGTCTCATTAGAAAAGTCCTTAAATACCAGAAAGTTGTCAAGCTGACTCTAAATACAAGTTTTGAAAGATTTTAATTGAAAGCTTGAATGGTGTCATTGGCAACAAATTCCACCAGTTGTTTTTCTTGAAATGGCATTCTCATTTCTCTCCGTTTTGAGGAAATGTCTACCAGATACCCAACTCTGAATAACCATAGAGTGCCAGCTATTCTCATAGTGAAAACAGTGTTGCATTGAAAATTCTCACTAGTTCTGCTCATAGCTCAAATCGTGGCCCCAAGGTTTCTTTGAGATAGCCATCATTCATTTGTTTGCCAAAGTCTTTAATAGTGATTCCCATTTTATTACCCAGAAAGTTAAAAAAGTATACTCAGACATCAAGATGTAATAAAAATAAACTTTCCTGCACCACAGAGACAATCTTAAGTAAAACTGGTGTTGACCTTTATGTGTGTGTGTATGTGTATATGTGTGTATATTTACTGCAGCTGGGTGTCCGAGAATAGTAAATTCCAGGATGGCTTTATGCTTCATTGACTAAGGTACACAGGCAGTGGGAACTTCAATAAGCGTATAGTTCTTTTGATATCTAATAGCAGATACAATGAAAGTGCAGTTTTTACCTTGGAGGGTTTTATGAAGAAGACCTTGAATGAGTGGATTGGCACAGTGACAGGAGCAGTGGGCTCGAATGTGGCAAAGCCTGTGTGGATGGGGCAGAACTGAGCAGAGATTCATTCTATTGTACATAGGATCTCTGAATCAGAGCCAACTCAACAGCTCCTAGCAACAACAACAACAGTTTGTGTTGATATTAGTGTTTGTACTGAAATTTCTGTCTAAAAAGTTAGTATTGTTTTTTGCTTAAAGGTTGCATCAAAATACAATCTGTTTATGAGGCTTGGGATTATTTTAATTTTTTTTAATATTTCTGCACTTCTGTTGTTGACAGCAAAAAGAAAAAAAGTTTATATCATTCTACAGAATCTTGATAGCCTCAAACAGAAGGGAGTTTAGAATCCATTTAACCAGTGCCTTCACGTTTGAGATGAGGTGGGTGGTACACTAAATTAAAAACTTTAGAAGAATTTGCTTAGGAAGTGGCCTGAATAGTGTTTTAAGTATTTGCTTACTGTCTTATTAAAAATATAAAAGAATTAGAGGAAAATATGTTTACATTTGAAAAAGCTAATCATTATCATCCCTAAAACTTCAAACTAAAGCATGCACAGGGCTGTGCTATGCCTGAAGGGCTAGTGTTTGTGGAATAAAGCCATGAAAGTCTAAGGTGACAAATAATTACTTACTTGGGGTGTGGAATACTTCCCTAGGACTCACAGCCCATGGTGCCTGTTAACACTGGCCGGGTCCCTTTCTGTCTGTCTTGAACCACTGTGCGCTCTTGACCTCCTCAGTTCCCCACTCCTCAGCACACGTCCTCTGCCCCAGTGCCCACTGGGACTGTTGCAGGAACTTTGGAGGACTGCCCACCGCTGCTGTTGTCCTCTACGGTCCACCTGCAGTATTTCTTGGCTAGAGTTTTGCATCTTTCTTGGTTTTGCCTTGTTTTTTTATTTTAAAAAGCCTGGCATGTTATTTCTCTTACGCTGATATCATATCCTCCCTTCTTCCCTTGACCTCCACTATCAAGCCAAATCCTTCTCCTGGCTTCTGTCCAGTAGGCTGCCGGGGCTAGAAATCTTAACAGGAAGAGACAGCTCGTCTTTCTTCTGCAGAACAGCTTGCGGAGTTGAACTGCCACCCTTTTGACTAGCAGTCTGACATGTTATCACAATGGCATCAGGGTCTGTGTATATCTATCAAGAAACACACACATTATCTAAATTCAT